CTGATGTAATCCTAATGTAATGCATCGTTTCGATTGTAACAACTTAAGGAAGTAAACATTAAACATTTTTAGAACGAAAATATTATTAAGCTTTTTATCTCATATAGCTAGATTTAAATACAATTTAAAAAAATCACAAGGTTCAGTGGTGGATTTAGACCCATATCATATCCTAGAAGTGATGGACTACACAAATTCATTAAAAATATTACTTATATAACGTTTACCGTCAGCTTTAATAAAATTTTTACCACAAGCAAATAAATTAATTGGTTCTTAACCTATAAAAGCAGCTATCTCTGATTTGTTTAAAAAAAAACCTTTTTAAAGTAACGCATTATAGGGCTGTAAATTTATGAGTATGGGCTAACTTGATATTATTTAGCCCATCACTCAAACTTGGCCGCTGTCTTTGATTGCTTATAAGCCAGTGAACATACCACTGCATCAACAAAAAGACATTTAGAGCAGCAAATCAGTCTTAATCAAAATCAAAACAACCTTTACCTCAAAGAAATTGTTATTAAAAAAGTCTCTCAATGAAATTTTGTTTCCGAATTCAAACTAGTTTATCTAACTCAACCGAGTAAATACGTTGTTGTGCATTTTAAATTACAGTTTTATATTTATTTGCTGTCCATAGTTTATTCTGTAAGTACAATAAAATTTATTTTGTTTAAAATGGTAGACTATGCTTAAAATTATTTTCTGCCCAACCTACTAAAAGTAACTCAACTTCGCCGATAGAATGAATATATTATAACAATGTTACCCTTGACGATTTTAGAAAGAAAAAGTTTAATGCTCATCAATTCATTGCAAAGGAAAATACCATTAATGTCCGATTTTAGATTTACGGTAAGTTTACTTTGAAAAGCTAAACATGATTTTAGAATTTCTTCTCATTTTTGCAAACTATCGACATTATACAAAAAACCCCAAACTTCTGAATAATACTCTAACTGTTTAAATCTTTCTCTCATTGAAATCAGAGATGTGTCTAAAAGAGGATTGAAGAAATCAATTTCTAATTTTTTTTAGGAGAAAATGAATAAATCCCATCTTGGTCAAAAATTGGCGAAATACGTTTCACTCGTACTATTTTTTAAAGTGATTTAAAAACAGGCTCCACTTGAAGTTTTACGGCTAAATCCTTTGTTTTTATAACTGCATCTTTAAAACTACATTTTTAATAGTTTTTTAAAAATGAACAACAGCTTTTAACTAGTTTTGCACATTGAGTGATGTCCATGTCTTTCTCTTGAAGAGTTTTACTAACAATGTTGACTTGAAAAAGAACGTCATACCAGACAATGAAAAAGACAAGAAATCTTTCAATTGCTTTGCTAGAGTTATTGCTTCACGTGCAGTTTTAGGATCACATCATTCAATTTCTGAGAATGCTATCAAAGTATCATGTATATCTCCAACTTTATAACGAACGGCTTTGTCACTACTTATTTTTGCTTCCCACTACGTGACATAGAGTTTCTTTAAATGCAAAATCTCAACGTATTCAATTAAAATTTTCCATCAGCTCACTAAAGCTGAGAATAGAGTGAACAATCTCTGGAGAATACCAAATAAAGTTATTGATTTTACTGAAGACCGTGCAGAGTCACTTATTACCAAATTTAAACTATGGCTGCCGCAGGGAATATATAATGCTAAAGAATTAAGATTTAAAATCCTTTTTTGTACCCCATTAATCTTTCCTTTCACATTTGATCCATTATCATACCCTTGACCTCTGAAGTTAGAGATTTCAAGTCCATGCTTAGTTAGCAACTCAACTGAAGTTAGAGATTTCAAGTCCATGCTTAGTTAGCAACTCAACTGAAGTTAGAGATTTCAAGTCCATGCTTAGTTAGCAACTCAACTGAAGTTAGAGATTTCAAGTCCATGCTTAGTTAGCAACTCAATAAAAACAGAAGAGAATCCTAAGCGTACTCTTTAATTTCCACATGTCTAATGACAAGTCAACAACTCGAATTATAAGAGAAGATTGTTCTTTTCTAGAAATATCAGGTGTACAATCAGCAATGATTGAATAGTACACAGCTTTCAAGACTCAGTTTATTATTTCATCATTAAACTTTTGAGACATTAAACCTATTAACTCATTTTAAATACTTTTACCGCAGTAATGAATTGAAGTGCCACCTATAAAATTTTAAGATTTTTCTATAATTTTAAGTTCTTCATTATCTATAGTATTTTTCCTTTGTAATTTAAAAATAACCAAGTTTAATTAAATCGTCCACAATGTTGCTAGATCAAATAATTGGCCACTTTCCACAATCCAATAAATTAGGTGTTTCTTGTAAAAAATCTTCTGATAAATCATTTGATTCTTTTAAAATAACTGGTTCATTATCTACTTTAATTTGCAATCAAGTTATACAATTATTTTTGAGTATTGTTGAAGGTTCTCCAAATTTATTAAATACTCATGAATTTTTCAATTTTTTCTAATTTTTGATCTTTTTCGGACTTTCTTTTTCTGTACTCTTACCCAGACAACTCACGAATTTGAAATTGTGACATGAGACAGATATTATTTTATTCGTAAGATAAAATTTTTCTATAATTAAAAAAAAAGAAAAAAAAAAAAGTTGAACATTGTTCTGAAGAAACATTGATAAAATTCTTAAAGAAGATAAAACAAAATTTACTGATTTTTAAAAATTGTTTAAATCGAGTTATTTAACATTTAATAACAAAAAATATGAACTTTTGAACTTCTTTATAAAAAATTTTGCAACTTTTCGAAACGACTCAACGCACAAATGATTCAATAGAAAATCGTGCGTTAATTATATTTTTAAGTAAATTTAGTAATTTTTTGTCGTTTCAATTTAAAATCGCGCTTTTTTTTTGTAAAGTTCAGGCGTTAAATCATTTATTTTTAATTAACTACTCGGTGTAATTAAGGCACTTTTAAAATTTTATAAAGTCTGTATGATATTTTGTTGACTACGACATATTTCCGTTAAATGGTCTGGTCTTTGAATTATGAAAAGACGAAAAAAATTAAAATAATAAATTTTGCGGTATCATAAAATAAAAATGTTTGTAGAGACCGTGGAATATTTAAAAAAAAAAAAATCATCTTAAAATCACAATCGCTCGTCCAAATTTAAATAAGATTTTATATTAATACGTATTTTAGGTGAAATGAACTTCATAGTTTAACAATATGATCTGTTTTGATCGTTAAATGGCAATTTTTTATAATTATAAGCTCTTTCTTGGTCGGAATTCCAGCATTTTTTGTGAAAATAGATAGAAATATTGTGTTTTGACAACTATATATAGTTAATATATGTCAGAACCGATTAGAACTAGGATCAGTAGTAAACTAAGAAACTTTTTTAAAAGATTTTAACTAAATTCATGTTAATGCCGATGAGCGAAATTGATCTAAAGACTCCAAACTAGTGTTCTTTAGATACATTATTACAGGTAGTAAAAAGATTTTGAAAATTATATATAAAAAAGAAAAGTTTCTTTAAATATCATAAAAACCTTAAGTAAAAAAAATTATAACATTTAAAGATCTTGTTTGGGCATAATATGCTGACAAAACCATGCTAATTCCAAATAAAAGTATTCAAATATTTTGTATATCGCCTTAACTACACCGAGTATTAGAAAATTAAAACTTGTGACTAATAAAATTTTCCGGCCCTATTTACTCGCCGCCCAAGCGCGGCGCACGACCTCGCTCCCCCCCCCCCCCCCAAAAAAAAAAAAAAAAAAACAGCTCAGCCTCGCCATGTTTATGTTTATGAGCTAAATGGATTATAGTTATCTATAGATATATCTATCTAGATATCTATCCATCTAGCATAGTAATAATAGGTATGTAAAAATTTTCTATTTATCTCGTAAACATAAACTTGGAGATCAGCTTTATTTTAATTAATGACGACAACTGTGATTGACCGCCAAGAAATTACGCGTGCGCGTATAAATGAGCAAAATCAAAACAAAAGCAGTCAGTAATTAAATACTTAATACAGTGTTAGATATGTTGCATTGTCTCAATAAAAAAATATATCAAGGACCTTACTATACCAGTGAATTTATGAATTATATCAATAAATCTTTTTTTATTCTGGGTCCTTATATAAAATATAATTCTTTTTAAAATATTAAATATTTGTAGCGATTGTACAGAGGCTTAACTTTAACAGATAGAACAAAATATTCAATGTGTTTTTGACCTTTTCCAAAAACAGAATGATCTAAAATGATTTAAAAAAACTAGCTCAAATATATTACTTAGAAACATATTATATAGAATATTATTTTATACGAAAAAAAAAAAAAAAAAAAAAGATGTAATATGATCAAGTCCTAGTAAGAAAAAAAAAAAACCACGAAGATTTAATGATATTAAATTCTAGTGGCTTTTTTTTAATATATGCATGTCTCGTATGGCTGAAGAAACTGGACATTTTAGGAGATTTTTATAATCATGTTAATGTTTTTATATTTTATATATTTGTATTAATTAGTTATGTTGATTATATTGATTATGGTGTTTAAGTACAATTTTATAATATATTCATTTTAATATAACAAATGTATTATAAAAAAGTATATAAAGTGACAAACATTATAAACATAACTAATTAATACAAGTATATAAAATATAAAATGAATATAATTAATATTTCTTAATTATATTATAATAAATTATGATGTAAATACATTATTTTAGTAAAATATTATGTTTCAAATCTTTATTGAAATAAGTTTTAAGTATTTAAAGATTAAAAAAAAAAATTTGGTTCAGTGATTTGTTACTTTTTAATAAAATAAAAACTTAATTGTATTATTATTATTATTGTTACTTTAGTTTTTAATCAGGATTTAAATCAAGTCATTGCTAAAATAATTTTTAAATTTGCTTATATTAAAACTCTCTATATTTTTTATATGTAGTTAACAGTTTGGAAAAATGCATGTGTCTAACTGAAATTAAGATTTTTATAATTTAGCTAACTTCTTGTCAACTAACTGTTTTAAAGTGTAAGATATTTCATCAGTTACTTCAGAAATTATGAAAATTTTTTCAAGGATAAAGGTAGTTCAATGCAAAAATAATTTTGTTAGTTTATCTAAAACACTTATTGGTTTATTACAATGTGAACAGAGTATAGAATGTACTAAGGTTAGGTTTTATTTAAGTTTTACTTTTTTATATTTTTTTAAATAAGTTTGACAATTTTTAGCTATGTGAAGTATATACTCAGAAATATCTTTAAGGTTTATTCTAAATATATATTTTTTAAATCTATTTTTGTTGAGAGATAAAATCATGTTGGTTTTCTAATTATCAATTTTAGAAAACTAGTTTATTGCATAAGTAGTTTTTTTTCATTAATGCAAATTTAATGTTTTTTTATAAAGTTGCTATAAATTTTGTCAGTAAAAATGTTTGGAATATTCTTATTGTTTATGAGTTGCTTATTTCAAACATTTAAAAACATTCCTATGCCACTGCAGACACTTATATTCTTTTAGAAAAGATGAAAATTTAATTTAATTTTTTAATTTTTTTAATTTTTGTATATAGTTTATATCATTTTTTCATTTAGTTTTTTTTTTTTTTAATTTTTTAACAAAGTAAATAAAGTTTTAATCCAACATTATCTATTATATTTATAAAATCTATTATTGCTTTGTGTACAAAAAACAATAATTTGATTATACAAAAAACAATAATTTGATTAAAAGCTGGTTAAATCAAGTTATTGTTTTTTGTACAAAAAACAATAACTTGATTTGTACAGCTCTAAATCAAATTATTGTTTTTTGTACAAAAAATTTTGTACAAAAAACGATAATTTGATTAAGAGATGGTTTTTTAATTTTAGTCATTTTTTTAGTCAGTTTTTAAAAACAGAAGAACTAATTACATGTCAAAAACCTTGCATCTAATCTGCTACTAAGGGATTTTAAACTTTTTAATAAAACAGTTATTGCTTTTTGTACTAAAAGCATAAAAAAAAACAACAGTAAAGTAACCTCCTCAACTGTGGTGGCTCTCAGGTTTGAAGAAAAACAGATATATAAAAAAATTTCTTTTCTCCATATTTCAGTACCTGGAAAAAAACAGGTTTTCTCTTAACTAGCAATAATGGACTTCCAGTATATTCAGATGATATTGTCTCATCGTAAAGCAACACTTTGTTAAAGTGTTTGACTGAAATTTATTGTCCATTAGAAGACACACTGGTGGTCCAAATAATGCAAAAATTTACCCAGCTTTCCCACAACCTCAGCTGTTTTTGTTATCAGTTAGTTTTATGTTATATATCTTGACAGATTACATTCAATTTTTGATAAGTATAGTTCTGTGTTTATGTCAAGACCAATCTAATTTCAATTCTGTTGTGCGCTTAATTGACTATGTTTCCATTTAACTAAGTCAGGATCAATTAAAGGAAGTTTATTTGTATTATTTACTTTTATTCCATGTTTATATTTTAATGTTCAGAGTAACCATATGGTTACCATCAGTACTTACAAAACTGCTGATGTCAGTGAAAAAAATTTTTTAGATTTGAAATCAGTATCATAAATCATAAACTTGTGCCAAAAAAATATTTTTTTACTCAATCCTAAGACATAGTGAGTGGTAAAGGGTTAAGTTACACTGGTTACAATTCACAATTACTGTTGAAACATCCCTATGCGATACTTTCTGAAACATCCTTATGCATACAATTTTCTGCACCCTTTATACAGGAAAGTCAGTTGGCGAAATTCATTTCATACAGAATACATTGTACTATGATCAAGATATCTTTTGCGATTTGCTTAATTTTATTCAGCCTATAAAATTGAGGAAATCGCAAATCCTCATTTTTATAGTCCTCCTGCTTTTGTCTGCTCATCGTGTAAATCATGTTTTGATTGCGTGCTGTTAGTTTTTTTGGACCCCTAATGCGAGGTTTATTATTGACACTACCATAAGTTGATAAGTAATTTTTTATTGTTGTATAAATGCTGAGTTCAGAAATATTTAAGCATCTGCCAATTTCTCGGTTGTTCATTTCTATTTTATGCATTCCAATGACTTGCCATTTTGTTTTCAACAAAACAGCTAATTTACCCATAAAAAAATGATGTTATGACATGGTTCAATTAGGGGTTTAATCAATTAGGGGTTAGCAGAATTATTCTGCTAACCAGTCTCGAACCCCTTCATCTATTAGGCTGGCACAGATGTAAACCTGTTTTACATTCTTTCCTGCCTTGAATGATGAATGCTGGATTTTCTTAACTCTACTCATAAGTTTTTGCTTGCACCTCCTTGATAATGACTATACAACTCTTTATCTCCTAATGAGGATACAGCTCTAAAACTCAGTTTAATGGTTCTGAGGCTGGCTGGTATAATGGTTTCATGAACTTTGTGGTAGCTCTCAGAGCGGCTGATTTCATCAACAGCTGTAAAGTATCAGAGTATTAATAGTGCCATGTTGCGCATGAATGGTTTCCCTATTAATGCTTTTGGTGCGCATTGTCGAGGCCACATAAGGACCCCTTTGTTATGATATAGGGTTAGTTAACAAGACTAAGAAAATTGCATAACTCATTGCTCAGGAGGCTGTGCTCTATCTATGAATGAGTCAAGTTCTCTTTAAACTTAAATCATGTTAAAAGTAACCTAAAATATTAAACATTAAAAACCATCCCCAACACCTAACTATTTTAATATATCTTTTACAAATGCTTGTTGAGTTTTACCTTTTGCAAAATTCACCAGACTTGCTTGCTTTTAGTGAGACTAATTTAAACTCTGCTATTCCTTCTTTTGATCTCAGTGTTGGTGGGTACTATCTTTTAATTTAGAAAGACTCCAGTAGTCACATGCTTGATTTGGGTGTATACATAGGCATTAATTCACCTATTTGTTGTGAAGTCAGGTTTGAATCCTTCGACCATTCTGTTATGTGCTTCCACTTAGCATCTCTTCACTCTATCACCTTTCTCTTTGCTCTTTATCGTTTTTCTTTTTCCCAAAGCTGCACTCTTTTAGATGTAATTTCTGATCAAATTGACCATGCCCTCTCTATTTACCCACCTGCCAATATTGTTGTTATTGGTGACTTTAATGCTTATCACACTGAATGGTTTTGCTCTAACCCCACTGATTCTTCTAGCACTAAAGCCTATAACTTCTGCATTTCTCAATTTCTTACACAAATAGTTAACTTTGTGACTCATTTTCCTGATAACCCTAATCATTTACCTTTACTCCTTGATTTGTCTTTTCTCTGATTCTAGCTTGTGTTCAGTTTTTCTTTTTTCTTTTTTAGATGGTTCTGACTATGCAATAATCCATTAAATTTTTTATCTCGATCTTGCTTTTCGGACTCACCCTATCATTTTACTACTTCCTACTACCCTAAAACTGTCTTTAAGGCTGATGTATTTTTTTCTCTCAGCTGATAAATGCGCCTTCTTTGTAACCTACTATATTAAAGTATAATTGGAAGCTTTTATTCCTTCTTGTCGGTTCCAAATCAAACCTCATTCTACTCCATGGTTTTCACCCTTTTGTGAAATCCATGGAGTAGAACCCTTTTTTGTTATATCCTATTGTTATCATGTTTTGCATCTGTTTCAAAAAAACAACTCCTTTAAGAACAAACTGTAATTTATTATAGGAAGAAATTAATGTAAAAAGGTGTTGTCTGATGCTAAGCTCCATTATTCTCAGTTCACTAAGTCTCATATCTTATCTCAGAAGTTTGGCTCTAGAGACTTTTGGAAAATCTTCAACAGCGTCATTAACAAAGGTATGTCTAACATTCCATCTCTTATTCATGAGATTGATCTTATTAACTCTCCCAAATATAAGGCAGAACTATTTGCAAATAACTTTTCTTATAATTCGACTGTTGAATCTTATGGCCATTATCTTCCTTCCATTCTAAATAAACAGGTTAACCCATTGTTACACATTCAAATTGCTCCAGCTTCAGTTGCTAAGGTCATGTCTCAATTAGACTCTTCTACAGCTTGTGGTCGAAACAACATCATTGGAGAACAATTTTGTAAGACTATATCAGATAGTCTTACAAAATTGTTCTCCAGAACTCTCTTCAATTCTCTCTAAACTTTTTAATACGTGCTTGACTGAGTCTTGTTTAGCTGCCTGCTGGAAAATGGCATCTGTTCCAATTTTCAAAAACTTTGGTGAACATTCTGACCCTTCCAATTATCTTCTGATCAGTCTTCTCTTTGTTATTTGCAAGGTCATTGAGTCTTTGATAAACAAATTTTTCATCTTGAGTCAAATAACTTACTGTCAAACAATCAATACAGTTTTTGATCCTCTCTCTTTCTCTACCGCTGACTTGCTAACTGCTGTGACTGAAAGATTTTATTCCGCATTAGATGGAGGCAAGAGGCTAGGCTACTATTCTTGGCCTATCTAAAGCTTTCGACAAAGTTTGGTTTGCTGGTCTTCTTCATAAGCTTGCTTTGTATGGGAAAGGTTTTAAGATATCTATCTGGAAAAGGTTTTGAGATTATGAGGTTGTTTCTTTCTAACCTTTTTATTAAAGTCACCCTCAAAAGCCAACACTCTTCTTCATTTCCAGTAGCTTCTGGAGTACCTCTAGATTCTATCCTTAGGCCTGTTTTTTTCTTATCTAAATTAATTATTTTCTTGAAAACCTTACATCTAAAGTAGCTCTTTTTGCTTATCACTAAACTTTATAATCCTGTCTTGACAAAAAGTCTTCTCTTTTTGATTGCTTAGAACAAGTAGCTTGAATCTTATCTCACTTCTGTAATAGCACAGTGGGCCCAGAAGGCAAAGTTTTGGAAATAGGATCATAACTAATTATTAAGAAATCCTAGAAAACTCATTGAGAACTTTTTCGATATTTTTTTGCTTGTTATAGGAAAATTTAAAATTTAAATATTAAACTAAATTTGTGGACTGGGTTCAAATTACCATATTTGGTCATTTTTGATAAATTAGTATTTTTTTGATAAATACTCAAAGTTAATTTTTTTTTTTAGATGATAATTAAAAGGGTACTTCATTAGATATACCTAAAAGAAAATTCAAAAGTTGTAATAATATGGGGGTCTGGTTTCTACTGTTCTATTGATAAGTTTAGTATTTAAAAACAAGTATTCTTTCAA